TCAGCCCTGTTCCCATTCTGCTCTCTTCTTGCCTGCCTGTTACATCTTCCATGGCTGAAACTTCTCCCTTTTCCTTCCTGGGCCCAGCTGATCGTGCAGTGGGAGACTCAGCTTAATCCTACCTTGGTTTTTGCTTTGGCTTTGGGGTTTTCTTTGCTGAAATCAAGTAGTGTGTGTTCTATCAGCACATCCCATCACTCTAAAATACCATCACTTTCTCTTTTTCTGGTCATATAAATAATTTTATATATTCCAGTGGCTGAAGAGTTTCCAGGCAAGCAGGAAAGTGACTTTTGACAAGGCCATGGAGTGACAGGATGAGGGGGAATGGCATCAAATGACAGAGAGCAGGATTAGATGGGAGATTGGGAGGGAATTGTTCCCTGTGAGGGTGGGCAGGCCCTGGCACAGGGTGCCCAGAGCAGCTGGGGCTGCCCCATCCCTGGGACCATTCTGGGCCAGGTTGGACAGGGCTTGGAGCAGCCTGGGACAGTGGAAAGTGTCCCCTGGGTTAGTGGAAGGTGTCCCTGCCCATGGCAGGGGAGTTGGATGTGCTCTTTAAGGTCCCTTCCAACCCAAACCATTCTGTGATGTTTCTAGAATCATTGCTGTCCTCTGGGTTTGCCATACCCCCATGGGGAGTTTCTCAGTTTTCCTAGTCACACATCTGCCCCTGCTTTATTTCGGTGCTTCTGCCTGATACAAGGCTTTTCCTTTCCCTTTTAAATTTTTTTATTTTATTTATTCTTGGGGTGTATCCACCAGGTATCCTCATGGCAGCTCTTCCTGAGCTAGAGGTCACTCAGTTGACCTCAGTTGCTGGTTCCTGGCTCTGAGCTGGACGTTTCCACAGATGAGGTGGTGATGATGTGTCACATGTGGCACTGCTGTGTGGACCCTGCAGGGTGATGTGAGTGGCAGTGAGTCCTGTCACAGAGCAGCAGCCAGGAGTCTCAGGGATTGGGATTTCAATGTGTTTTCTCCTGCTGCAGCCTGATGTGTGCACGTGGTGCAGATCCCAGGTGTGATGAGCCTGCAGACCTTGCCTGGCTTTCAGTGCAGCAGTTTGCAGCTCAGACTCAGCTCTCCAGTGTAAATGCCTCCATTGATGTCCAGCTGTTTACTCCAGGAACCAGCTACAACGCTCCAAGTGCCTCTCCCTTGGGACTGCTTCTATTTAGACAGCTGGTTTTAATCCAGAGCTGACACTCCAGCAGTCTCTTTCCATGGGAAGGGAATTTGCAGCCCCACTTCAGTCTCCCAGGTGGATGATCATGGATGCTGAGGGAGGACCATGCTTGGGAGCTTTTGTTTACAGGGTGAGGGAATTCCTGTCTCTGACTGTGAGGTTTGAGGGGAGACACTGTGCTTACATATTCCTTCTGCAGTGGGTAAGAGGAGTAGTCAGAGTGACTACTGTGTGAAAACTGAGTCCTTGCCATGTTTGTTGCAACAGGAGGTTGCTCAGAATTCTTCCACTTCCACAGAATACCCTGTGAGGAGTCCCTCAACCTGTACAAAAATCACACCTGGCTTCTGGGGGGTTTTTTTGTTTCTTTTTAAACTGTAATCTCATTGAATCCCTCATACTTTTTGTATTTTGTTTTGCATCAGCACCTCATTTATAATTTTACAAGTCTCAGTTTTCTCTCTGGGTTCTTTTCCTGTCCCAAGCTGCATTATCCCATTCTGTTTAGTACACAGGCAGCTCTTCATCACTTGGGTTTTATTTTTCTTTAAGCTCTGCTGTTGTTTTGAGGTGATTTGGCCACAATCATAAACTGGCACTTTCCAAAGGGGTGCTTTCACTGTGAGGTGTTGGTGGAGAGTTGTGCTGCTCAGAGGATCTACAGCAAAACAGCTTCCCCCTGTCTGAGGCTGAGCAACCCCCCAGATGTTGGGTTTGGTTGGGTTTGGTTGTATCCCACAGTGTGCTGGAAGGAGATTTTGTGTCTTTATGGCCTTTCTGTGGATGGATGTTTGGTGTTTGTATGGCCAGCAGCAAGCCTTGGCTCCTCACACCTGTGTGGGGTATTTCACATCAGTGTTTCACTGGCCTCACCCATTCCAGCTGCTAAACTTGAGCTTTGAGAACATCTGAGTGTGTTCCTAGGAGAACATCTGGTGATATCTGTAGCTTCACTCCTTTTTTAAAGAAAAAGAAAAGAAAATCAGCCTGTGAGAAAGAAAATCAAGCTGTGAGAAAGCAGTGGTGCTTTTGCTGGCATGTGACGAGGAAGGAGATGTCCCCTGACGTAGAAGGGATTGTCTGTTGACATTCTTCTCCCTCTCCCAGTTAGAAGTAGGTTATCCCTGCTCAAATTATGCAACTGTGCAGACAGCCAGACTTCAGGAATTCCAAATACTTCAATGTGTCAAGTGCTGACTTGGAAATGAAATGCCACGGTTGCAGAGCGTGTTCACAGTCTGGCGCTTGCAATCCGACATCGAGCTTGGAACCGAGTGTGGCTGAGAAGGGGCAGCAACTTCATTGCTTGTTTCTTCCAAAAGTGTGGGGGGAGAGCTGCCTCTACCTGTGACACTGTTTCCATATGGAAGCAGAAAAAAAAACCTGCTGAAAACATTGATTTGTGTAACAAATTGAAATGCTTCCTTCTCTGGCCGTGGTGTTGCAGTTTTCAGCATCTAGATCGAATGAAAGAGTTGTGTGCTTATTGCTGAGTAAACACAGGAGTCCATCACTCTCCTTGCCCTGCAGAGCAAATTGATTCTTCTAATGGTTTCACTGGATGAAAGCAGGTGTCTGGGACTGCTTTGTGCAAGGTGCTGAAATGAAATGGTGGTGGTAGGAAATGAGCTGCAAACCTGATAAAATGGGGTGACAGGAAATGGAAACGCTCAGCATTTCATTCAATTCTTACATTCCACTTAATCAAGTGAAGGAAGTGACTTAAACTGTGCATTATTTGTAAATAACGTGTTCTTAATGCCTTCCACTTCAGAGCTGGGGAAATCATCATTTCACAGGAGCACACTGAGCAGAGGCTGTGAACAATGGGATAAGAAGTGCTGCAGAAAGTGTGCTGGGCTCAGCATGTGGTGTGTGACAGTGGCCAGCAGGAAATCATTAGGGGAGAGTGGAGCAGCAGCCCCAGCTCGGGTTTGAGGTGATCTGAGCCTGCTGGACCTGTCCTTGAGGGCATTGCTGAAACATTTCCAACAGTTTGCACCTGCAGCTTCCACAGAATGCCCTGTGAGAGTCCCTCAACCTGTACAAAAACCACACCTGGCTTCTGGGGGGTTTTTTTGTTTCTTTTTAAACTGTAATCTCATTGAATCCCTCATACTTCTTGTATTTTGTTTTGCATCAGCACCTCATTTATAATTTTACAATATATATATATTATGTACATATATAATTTTACAAGTCTCAGTTTTCTCTCTGGGTTCTTTTTAGTTCTGTTTAGTACACAGGCAGCTCTTCATCACTTGGGTTTTATTTTTCTTTAAGCTCTGCTGTTGTTTTGAGGTGATTTGGCCACAATTTGTTTGCTTGCTTTACCCAAGAAGCCAGAATGAAGAGAGATGTGCTGTCTAATAAAGGGATACTTTGTAGCTCCTCTGTGATAATTTTATAAACATTTACTCTGTGTAATGTTTTACATTCCAAGTGCAAATGAACACAGTAATCATAGTGAGAGATATTGTAGTGGAAATACAGATACTGAAGAAGATCTGAGTTTATAAATACAGTACAGATGGCCCTTGATAAGGCATTTTGTATTTGGATATTACCAAGAGAGCAGTATGGAAAAAACTGCACTTGTGGTGGATACTTGCCAGAGTTAAGTTGGAAGGCACTGGAAGCATGAAGATGCCATGTCCTGTGGAGACCTGAGTCCCAGAAATGACTTTTGGATATCTGCTGGGTTAAGGGACACATTGCTCCTTTATTAGGGACAGATATTGACAGTGTTGAAGCTCCTGCAGTTTTCTTTCAATATCTTGGGGTTTTTTTTTTTAAAAAAAAAAAAAAAAACCTCTGTTTTGAAATACCTACTGTGAGAAGTTTCTGTAAAATGTCAGTAAAGATGGTGGAGGTTTAAAAACAACCCACAAAAGTCCTATGCCCAGCACAAACTGTGGATGTGGCCATACAAGGGCAGACAGCTCCAGCCTGTGGAGTTGCTGCTCACCTGATAAGGTGATTTGTGGATAAATCCAAACCCTTGTAGCTTCTGGAGCCAAGAAGAACTCCTTTGAGGCATTTCTCTGCATAAATGAGTCATTAGGAAAATAAAGGTACACGTAGTGCTGAAAGGGTGATGACACAACCACATTCCTGCCTTGCTTGAACTTGTTGAGGATTCTTTTGGAGCTGCTTCCTTTGGAAGGTGCTGCTGCTGTTGATGTGTCTGTGACACCCTGGCTGGGTCAGCAGTGCCTGTTCCCTCCTTGGATCTCTCACCATCCGAGATTTTGCCTTGATCTCTCCCTCCTCCTCTTTACTGAGCTCTTTCCTCAGTGTTGCTTCCAGCACTGGGGGTGTTTATGGGGCTGCTGTGCTTCAGGGACAGTTCAGCTATGCATTGCCTTTCAGAAAAAAAATATCATTTATTATAGTTAATGTGGATTTCATGAGGGTGTAATGCTTCCTGCAATAAAAGTGAGAGAGAAAAGCTGTCATTTTCTGTAATAAACCTGAATATTTCAAACAACCAGTCAGCTGACAGGTAAGCTTTGTGCTCAACTAGTAAAAACTAGCACTTAGCCAAATTTGGTTGTGACAGAGCTTCTGTTTGTGCTGTGCCCTCCGGTCTCTTATTCCTGTCAAATAAGAAATAAGAAAGAGAAATAAGGGAGTGATTTCCAGGGATAGGGGGGAGCACATGGTTTGGGGGATAGCTGAAAGCAGGCACTCTGCACTTTGGCTGCTTTTCTGATTTTGCCTTGGAGGAAAAGAAAAAAATAATGTGTGGGGACCAACAGATGGGAGAGTTTTGTTATTTTTGTTATTTTTGTCTTTTTGACTCTTTCAGGGATCCAGAGGAGTAGTGCTACCAAAACAATCTTGAGCCATGCTGCTTTGCTGGGCCATTTTTTTTCCTGAGATTTCTTCCACATGCCATCACCAGAAAGGGCTTGGAAATTCTTGGGTTTGTGACTAATTTGAGAGGCTGGCTTGAGTAGTTTTCTTCATGGATGTTTTTCCTGACTTCTTGTTGATATGCTTGCAGAGCTTCTGAAAGTGAAGGCTCAAATGCTGTGGGTAGCCATGGTAAAAGAAGAAAAAATAGATTTCTGGAATTAGTTTAAATGAGCAGGTTGCTGCAGTTGCTGCCACGTGCAAATGGAAGTAATATATGGACATTTTTTGGCAATTTGCAGTGCTTAGAAAATTTAATATTCATTGGGGGTTTTTGTACTGTTGTTAAAGAGCAAGGACTATAAAACTGCAGCCTTGCTTTTTATTGCACTGAGTGGGAAATGATCATCTAACAGCTTCTGTACACTAAGAAATTTGGGAAAAACTTCACCTGAATTTGCATGGAGCAAAAGGATAAAAAAGTTCCTGAGATCCCATAAAATTATGCATGAGCAGTGCCATGGAAAGCGTGGTTAAATGTGAATGTGTGCCTTAGGGCTGTAACACATCAGCCCATTCACTGGGAGCTGATTTCATTCTCAGGCACTTCCCTGCATAAGCATATGATGAGGACTCTGTTCACTTGTTGCTTTTATTCTACCAAAAAAACCCCAAAAAAACAAAAAAATGGGGGTTTGTTTCATATGTTGACAGCACTTTTAGTAGTTTGATCATGTGTTTTTTGGAGAATTGGTGAAAACTAAAAGTAGGGTAGTGAGTCTGCTGTGAGATATCCCAAAACACTCTGTGTAGTGAAGCTCACACATTAATTTTTATGATGAGAATGAAGGTAATTCAGTGTGGAACAAGACTTTTTCACAGTTCCTGCTCATATTGTTAAACAAGCCTCAGTCTTAAGGGCTGTCAGAAAATTGCTTTTATGTGCAGTAAGGAATGCTAACGTGAGATTCCTTCAGTGCAGAGGCTGGGGAAGGTGGCATTTATCTGGTTTGCTTATTCAACCATGTGAAAGCTATATTGGGCACATAAACTTTCTGCACTACACTGCAGCTTCAAAAAAGCAACAAGTTCAATCTGGGCCCTTTGAAGTAGTGAATAGTAACATTCTGTTCTCCAGAAGTGATGACTTCAAATGATCACACCAAAACTCCCAAAGCTGTCATGGCTGAGGAAAACAAGACAATTCTGCTCAGATAAATCTTATTTCAGTGTATCCCTGTTGCATGAAACGTGGGTTTTGTTGGAGCCAGCAAACCTCAGTTATGCAGAGAGGCTTAAAAAAGGACATAGATCTTCTTTCTCTATCTGGAAATGATCTCAGGAAACATTTCACTGTTGCAGAAATGTGGCATCAGATCAGCTCCAGCAGCAGGCACTACTGTCCTGCCCTGATTATTGTAATCTGTGTTTTTAATTAGATGCTGAGATGAGGAGCTGTTGTGCTGCTCAGTGCCCTCAGTGCTCCCTGGCAGCTCTGCCTGCCCCAGGGTCCTGCTGGAGGAAGCTGCTCTGAGGAGATCTGAGCACACTTTGCTTTGCAGACACGTGAAGGGGCAGCTGCAGAGAAGGAAAATACACCAAAACTCCTTCCTGGGACTCTTTCAGGAGGTTAAAATAGATATTGGCAAATAGCTGGCAAGAACTCAGGCACTGCAGCAGTTCTGTGTGCCTTTCACTGAGCTGTTCATTGCATGGAACAGTATGGAGATCTTACTCCAAAGTCACTTTTAACTCATTAGCTTCCAGTTCACAGCTCCCTAATGTACCTTGTCAAATATTACATTCATTCTGTTGGATTTCCCATGAATTTCATTCTGTTGCTGGGATTCCAGGTCTCAATCTTTTGTTTTTGTGTTGTGCTGATGATACACCTTAACCTTTTGATCAGCATTTTCTGAGCCAGTGTCTTGGAGATCTTGGCTGAAATGAGTAATTGTGGCACTCCATAGGTGAATTCTTCAGTCTGTTCTCCAAGTACATGAATTATACATACATAGGGGTTCTTTAGGGACAAGAATAAATCTAGAAATGTCACTTTCATGAGGAAAGGACAAGCCAGAGCTGTGTGAAAATCTGCTGTAAGTATGTGGCTCTTTACCTTCAGTTTGTCTGTTCATCTGTGTGTTTGCACTAACAGCTCTGTTTGTCATGTTAGTCAAACATTTAATGAAGTTCTCATCATAGCTGGTGTTTCCTCTTTCTCTAAAAAATACATTTTCAATTCAGCTTGAGACACTTTACCTTCAGTAAACACAGGTGGTATCCCAATTTCTGTTTGTTTTCTTGTTCCTCATTCTTTTTTTCTTCAGTTTGTTTTCCTTTGGCTGGATTTGTTCATTTGTATACAAACACCTGCAATCGTGTATCTTTGAGAGATGAAAACATCTCTATATTTTTTAATAATCAGCCCTTGTACACTAAATATTTGAGAGATGAAATTACCATAGTGCTAATGTTGCCAAGCTTATTTGCAGGTGCACAAAATGAGACATTTTTGTGGTGCACTGCCACCTTTTCCCTGGGAATTAAAGTGTCACTATTTAATCACAGCACTGATGGAACCACTTTTAGACTGGCTTCTAATGAAAGGAGTGGTAAGATGTTTTACACACCTACAACATGACATTTAATCTGCAGGTTTGATCTGTGCCAGGAGTTGTAGCTATGCTTTAATCTTGCAGCATTAATCCAGCACACTCAGTGCCTGATTCCAGAGCCCCAGGTCGGCTCTCAGGGATTCCCAAGCGTTTGCATGACAAACTCTTGCCAGCTCCCAGCTTTCCCCATCACTCAGGGGGCTCTGTGCTCAGCCATGGCCATTTTCAGAGCTCTGCAGATCAATTCCCATTGCCCTGAAGCCAACAGGAGCATTTAGCAGTTGAAAAACTTCACTGTGGACAACTTAACTTGCAGCCCTGTGACATTTCTGTGACAGTTCCTGGTGTCCCCATTTATCTGTGTATGGGTTTGATCAGCTGCAGAGAGCCCAGCTCTCATTTGCTGAGGCATAACTGATGTGCAACTCCTGCCATAAAAATTAAAAAGAGAGAATTGAAGTAGGATTGAACTCTCCTGCCAGAGAGACAGCACAAAGTCTTGCAGGCCCCTTGCTGTAGGCCATACATAAGGGTTGATTAGGGACAATGATTAGGGACAAGAATCAATCCAGAAGTGTCCCTTTCATGAGGAAATGACAAGCCAGAGCTGCATGAGAATCTGCTGCAAGTATGTGGCTGCTGGTGGAGTTAATGAACGTGGCCTTGGAATGTGTAATTATGACAGTCAGGCAGATGAGTGCTTCATTCTGCAGATGGGAGAGCTCCACTCTGAGCTGCAGGACAAGCCTGGGGGTTTCACACAGATTCACTCTGCAGAAACACTCTGGGAGCTGCATCAGCCCAGATTGGTAAGTTCTGTTCTTGTTCTGTTCCATCACTGGGAAGTTTCTGGAGGTTTGTGGATCCCTCTGAGCAGCAGGTTTGGCTTGGTTTGGATTCTCACATCCCCATCCTGAGCTGTGTGCTGGGCTCTGCTCTGCAGGCTGCAGTTCTGCTCCTCTCACACTGACAGAGCACAACTGCTGAATTTTTACATCCAATTTCCTAATTCCCATGCAAATGACTGGTCAGGAAAACAAATAAAAATCCCTGAGACACCTTGTGCTTCACCTTCAGTGCAGAAACAGCAACTCCTGAAAAATAGTGATGCTTTCACTAATGGTTTTCAGCTTTTTCCTTGCTGTGCCCCCACAGTACAGGAACAGCTCTGTGATATGTTTGTGTTGGTTTTAATATTCTAAAATAAAAGTAGCAGACACATATATACCTCTTTTACATCACAGTAGATGTTTGGGGTCTTTTTTAATTTTTACTCAACCAGTCTGGTGACATGAGGAAGACTTTGGTCATTTCACTTTGGAAGCTATAAACCTTTTCTTGGACTTTTATAGTTTTGAGTGAGGACAGCTGAGATATTTGGAATTAAGCAAATATTGCTTTAACAGCAGCCATTGTGCTTAATATCCATGGTGTAAAAATAAAAAAATGCAAAATCATAGAGGAACAGGAAGTACACACAGAGGAAGAGGAAGTGCACCTTACACAAGGTGTTGGTTGTCCATCTTTTGGCAAGGAAAGTTAAAATCAAGTGCCAGGAAGGTGTAGAAGTGGTTTGCAAGGATGGTGCAGTGTCTGACCATTCCCCACCCCTTGCTGCTGGTAAGAATTAAAGCAGAATGCCAAAGTAGGATATAGGAATATGCATTGATAAGTTCATCAGATGAACTTTTTTCAAGAAGCTGGCAGTGGTGAAGGCATTGTTGCCAAAAGCAGAGGCTGGTTCTGAGTGATGAATGGCAGGGCTGAGAAGTGGCTGGGCTGTGAGCTCCTGCATCCAGCACTCAGCTGAAGTTCCACTCATGCAAACCAGCCTGAGGTAATCTGTGCTCTTCTGCTTGGGGAGAGTCTGTTGGTGCTGTTCCCTTCAAATGTGGATGTAAATGTTTTCTAATTTTATCCTTTCAGAAGTGTTCTGTTTGCAGCTGACATCCCATCTCCACTTTACAATAAAACCATTTTGTAGAGCAAATTGATGGGTTTGGCACCCCACTACTTGTCTGAATGCTTTCACCAGCCCTGAGAATTAAAATGCACCTAGTAGATTTGCATCATGCAAATGCATTTTTCCATGATCTGAGTCAGTTTTTTCCTTTCCCCATGAAAGATGAATGTTTTTGATAGCAGTGAGGGTGTGAGTCAGAGCTGGAGCTGTGAGCTGGGGCTGTGCCATGGCTGCACACATCTGCTTTCTCCTTGTGCCATGCTACAGTCAAAGCTTTTGTTTTCTGTTATTGCAGGGTTTCATTTGGGGGAAACTGCAGACATCTGTTAGGAATATGAAACATGTATTTTATGGACACCCTGCCTTTTTCCTGAATCATTATTTTGGA